TTCGAGTATTGTGGTTTAATGTTGAGAGCTGTCATTCGGGCCCAAATAAATCTAACTTTGTTCACTAGCAATACGAACATTTCCATCATAAGCATTCTAAATGTTCAGCTCATTTTTTTGACTTGTTCTTTTCTTTGCACAATGCGAACAATTTGAAAAAAAATTGAAATTATTTTCATTTGATTCAGAGAATCATGGAAGAATAAATAGAGCGCACTAAAAAAATCAATAAACAATTTATTCGAAAGAAAATTTGTCAAACATCTAAATTGCTGAAAAACTAGAGAATCAATATTTTTTTATTTTACTTTTTCATTTATAGTTTAACATGTTCTGAGTTATTTTAAGGCAAGATATGGACTACATTTCACTAATAGATTATCTCTGTTTTCAATGAATTGAGTAGTTTCTCTTGTTTCTTATCGATCGCTGTTCTTTTTCTTTTTTTTTGAAGATAAAAGATAAAAAAAAACGATTCTGAATAAAAGCTAAGGAAATCGTATCTTATTCGTAGGAAAAGTGTAAACAACAAAAGATCTTGATTATTCGTTCATTAAAAATTTATATCTTACTCTTAAACGACCATTTGAAAAAGTCATGAAATGAAACTTGAGAATAACTAGGAAGTCATTTTGCTCTGTAAAATAAATGGGCATAGACATATATGGCACTTGATCATTTTATACAGATTTTTATAGAGTAGTAACTGTATGGATGTACAAGTGCTCGTTATGTATATTACTAAGTCTTTCTTTCGATACAATGTAAATATCAGAAGGGAAATTAGAATGATGCAAAAGTCATCATAAAAAATGTGTAAGTAAATATTTGATAGGTGTACATATGGATATAAAAGTTGGAAACATAAATAGCATTTGTATGCTTTACCTTACGTTTTGGTATTTAGTAGGCAAAAATAAGTTATACTACATGCAAAAAAAAATATTACAATTGCTTTAAATTACAGACATTCAATTTCCAAGAAAAAAAAACTTTAAAATATGATGCTTTTCGCGAAGAGTACAATTATTCTCAATTTGAGTTCGTTGTAGAAGTCATGTAAAAACTAATTTTTTTAAAACTTTTAAGCTTATCTTCATGATGATCGCAAAATTTGACTGACTCTTTTTGTGTGAATTTCGAACTATATTTCTGATTTATTTTTGTAGAATATGAACTCTCATAAACGAAGTCTAATAAGCCATATAATTTTTTGTAATTGTCTACATACTTATATTAAATAAAAATTCGAAAAATAAATTTTCATTTGGCTATTATAAGATGGATTGATGGTATCTTGTCAGATAAACAACATACATCTGCATATACAAAAACAAATTGCCATTGCGTAAAAGATATATACCGTCTCTAGAAATATGAAAGAGGGCGCTTCGTGTCGAGTATCAAATTCGTATGCGCAATGGTTGCATATATCGGCGTTCGAGAAACAAATAGATATGAAAGTATTATATTATTTTTATGTTAATGTCATATATTTATTGTTATTTTACAAAAAATAAGGCATTAAAATGAAATAAATAAATGCCGAGTTCTACAGAATTTTTTGTCAGAATTTAGTGCGAATTAATCGTACACAATTTACCGTAAATAAATACAGAAAAAACTGAGACATGCTATTGTTTCCTTTTTTTATTGGGTGAATAAAAAATCGAACAAATTCCCTATTGGGTGAGTGTGGGAAGAGACTTGTGTACAGCCGCAACCGACACTAACCCTTTCTTCGAAATATTCGTTTGAAAATCTTTATATTTTTGAAGTGTAGTTTCAAATGAGTGAGTTGAATGCTATTTTTTCTTCTTCTTTTAATAAGAAATATGATGAAGCGTCCAATCTACTGAGATATCTATTGTAATTGAATAATGAGTCATATTAAAATTATCAATCTTTCTATGGTTCGGAAAAAGAAATTGCCTCACACTTGTGATAACATAAATATTATCTATTTCAATATGCGATGAAGTGTAACAAATTTTTAAGATTAAACTTGCTTTGTTAATTAACGATAACAGATTCAATGAATACAGATGCGATAAAATGTCTCCTTGCTAGTAACTATCTAATTTAGAACGGGCCTTATCTTGTCGAACTATACAAAATTAAATAAGAGTCTGTGTACTCCATATGAAATAAATGTCATTAAATAAGAATGAAATGTTTTCTTTTTGCGTCTTTCTCATGCCACGTCATCTACTCTTTCGACGGATGTTTTATTACTGCTTTGCGCAGCTCTTCTCATAGAGTGCTTATTCAATAGAAATTTTATTAAGTCGTAAAAAAAAGAAGGCAAACACAGACAGCAACGGAAGGTCAATAGTTGGCACACTGCAAAAGCAAGATATAAATCATTCGAGAAAAAAACTAGTCATCGCTATGAGGCACAAAAAATTCTGTCAAGAGTAAATACATCATCAAAATTACCAAGAGCATTTAGGCTGGGTGTGGATGTGAGTGTTGTTCTATTCTTTACATCAACACCTAGGTCCACACTCACATCCACCACCGACTCACACCCCATACCCACACCTTCTGTCCTACACTCAGACCTTCTCCCATTCACAGAATATTTCTCGTAATGAGAATAAATCTCCTGGTAATATTTTCAATAGCACTGACATGAAGATAATCATTTCTGCTCATAGTGTTATTTAAAAGTCAAGACTTTGCTTTATGAATTCATTCAATACTATTCAATTCATTTTATGAACCACGCAATACTCTCACAATCATCACATTTCAAATTCAATGCCATAGATCCTGGTGAAGAAGAGTTTACGTTGATTTGTTACAAACAAATACTAGAAGAATAAGAAGAACTTTTCTCATGACGTTGTTCCTCGCTTCTCCTCGGCGGGCGTTGAAATATATGTTTATTTGGACAAAAGACTCGTTGACAGAAAAAAAATACTATAATATGGTTTATCCAACAATAGATATACATGATCGATTTAATCAAAACAAACTAAATTACCAAGATCCCTTGACCTTATTTCCCATTTTTCGATTATTTCTCCATTATCGATATTGAATGAGATAAAAATACTAGCATTTGAATCTTCAACTCTCCATATAGTCATCCATGAATTTTTGTTTGAACTTATTGTATATATTGTTGCCCATAGATATTTCTCAAATGGAATTATTATTTTACCAATGCGATCGAATGTTATTTCTTGTTTTGCTGTTATTATCATTTGAGTTAAAATCCAACCGTTTGTAATTGACGAAGAATAAACTAGAGCAATTAAACGATCATTGATAGAATCATAGTCTAGGGCATATATTAAATAATCATTCGGTATTTGAATATTGACATCAATGTTTCCTGTATCAACATTGATAGCATACAGTGTTGACTCAATTACATTATAATATAATCGACGTTTTGATGCATAAGTCATAACTAAACTGTATGAACCCTATGGATATGTTTCGATCGTTTTTATAAGACCATTTGTTTGATTAATTTTAGCTACATCTAACGTTGAGCCCGGATGTAAACTTTCTCTTATACCAATAATATCATCATCACTAATCGCAGCTACTTGCCAAAATGATCCAGAACCATATTTTTCATTTAATGTTAAATTAAGTTTAATTGATTTTAAATAAATATCAACTATTAATAAAAAGTAATGAGGTACACCTAAACTATCAAACGTATGATAGGTACTAACATAGTTTTGATTGCCAATTTTTGTTGATGTTGCTTTACTAGAAAATGTTGAATGGCCTAAATTTAAAACAAGATTGTAGGATGATGAATTATTTATTTCAATCAATTTTGTTTCTATAGATGATTGATCTAGTTCATAAAGTCGACATTTAAATGTTAAAACAAAAGGAATAATCGAACTTAATACAGCTATTATATGGATAATAAAATAATAATGTTGTTTGTACATCTTAAATTCTATAGATGAACATAATAATAATTCTGTTATGATGCAATATTTTTTGTTTCTATATCAAATCTAATATTCTTTTGCCCAACAGAATATTCAGTTACTTATCTTTTCTACACAAACATGAAAAACATCTGTTATTAAAAAACCTTATGTTTAATCAAGATCGTTATTGTTACAACCGATTGCATCTATCATGTATAAGTTGATTAAATGTTTGAATGCAACTCTATCATATATATTATCTAAGAAAAAGAATGTTTTCAATAAATCACAGAGATATGGCTGCCTTGTTCAAGCACAAGTCAAAGCATATAAATGCTATGCAGAAAATGTTCCTGAGATATTTTTAGGATCTTTTTGTCTCTTGTAGTCAATAGCATTGCGCTATAGAGAATCAAATTTAAACAGAACCTGTGGAAGAAGACCATACTCACTCTCATTTTAACAACATGATAGAACATTTATTTGCTTGATGTGCGACTCTCTTTTGTGTAGAGACAGCCTGATGATGTATGCATGCAGTAAGATAAGCGATACATGCACAAATGGGCAATGAAATGAGTGTAGAAGCAGAGAGGTATGGGAAAGTGAAGCAAATAATAATATCACAAAACACCTGCACAACAATTAAAAACGAATTAATCTTCGTCATCAACTCCATATCTTTCAGAAATAGGGGAGTATTTTCTATGAAATTCTATACTGAAGACAACATAAACCTGAGCGAAAAAGAAAGACTAAAATCTTTGCCGCTATTATCATTTTTTTCGTATCTTGGATTGTGGATCTCGCGCTACTAAGCAACGTTTTTTTCTCTTCTAGATTTTGGATGAACAGATAAGCCTCGATTTCTCACTAGTGTAAAAATCGATGCGGGTGGGCATGGGTTATGAACGTGGAGAACACCCACCCACACCTACACTCCACCAATACCCCATACACTCACATCTTCGTTCGATTAAAAGTACGAAAAGTGAAAGCAGGAGAAGCTGGTGCATACATTTGTGCTGAAGTTCGTATGGGAAAAGTTCTGATGCTTACTAGATTTGAATTGCATACAGTTAGCAACAGAAATTCATGGTGGTCACAATATGACACTGCCTATTTCAAACAGGAACATGAAGAGAAAAGAGGAATCCTGTGTCAAAAGCTTCAATAAAGTTCTCAAATAGATTACATTTATTGAAGCAGAAAAGGACAAAAAGTTGACATGCTATAGAATGGACGTGGAATTTAATGATACAAAATGTTATTGTATATAATATTTGTATTAACGTATTCGCAATCAAGATTTCATATGTCTAAATGCGTTATGCTTATAATGTTCGATATTTTCATTGATACTGCCATTTTTTGTTTTCGTGCATTTATACTGCCGCCATTTTCGAAAAACCTCTTGAAATATTCAACTTAGGCTTTTAAGCCTACAGCATTTTGTTTATAAAATAAATGGAGATAGTAAAATTTTTATAATCAAATTCACCTGCGAAAAAATAATTAATTATGTAGCATTGCAAAACAATTGACTGTTCAAAGATCTATATTAATATTCCTTTCTTTTACTATGTTGATTTGAAAGAGTCTGAGAGTGTTTACAAGAATAATTCTGATCTACTTATGACAACCATTTCGTCCTTACTTAAGACAGAGCTTGTAAAACTATGAAGAGTCATGCCATAACGTACAGCACTCGGCAGAGGTGTCAGTGTGGGTGTTGTTTTGATCTTAACCCACAACCATACCTGCTCAATTTGCGAGTAAGACAGTTTACTCGAAGACACCATGCTGAAAAGTTATCGAAACTCGACTTTTTCATACATCACAAATCAATTTCAAATTCAAGGCTTTGGCCTTTTATTCGAATAAATGATGTATTTGAAATTAGCATCAAATACTGAGTACATCTATGTACTTCACAAGGTATGTCATCAAGTTTCATTCTTTTTTCGAAAAATTTCTCCTGACTCTCTCAAGGATATGCAAAAAGTTAATGTCGACTTAGATAAATGTCTAATTATCTGTAAAACCTATGATCACACTTTTTAAAAATTCGTTCTACTTGAAAAACAGGCTTTCCATAACGAATATTTAATGTCTACAAGTTCTTCATTACTCGATCATCTAACTACTTTAACTTGGATTTTTCCATAATTCAATTACCACTTCTAATGATGCCTATTACTAGCTTTTTTATTCTTATTCAATAAGCAAACCTATTTCAGATTTCCATTAATCCAGTCACACTCAAAAAAAATGGTTAACCTTGGCGCAAGTGCATGAGGATGAAAATGAGGATCTTGAAAAGGGCATCACCCATACACGCATTCACGTCCACACTTTGGACACAATAGGTACTAGAATATTAATCACAGCGAAATAAAAGTAGGCTCATCATCTCAACGAGAGAAAAAAAGAAAGAAAAGATACTTTTGCATGCCGACATGTCTAACGGCGATGATAAAAAATCAGATACCGCTCCCACAATGGGATATCGGATACCTACTCGAACCCCTGTCTCAGCGATAGAAGAAACAGAAAGAAAAAGCACACTGCTCCGTGTCAATAAATACTAATGGCGATGGTAAAAGAAGGAAGTACTGTTATTGTAAAAATGCATAGAATGCGTACAAGAAACTCCATGTTACTGGTAGAAAAAATAGGAAGAAAAACAACGCTGCATATATTTTACAAGCTATCAAGTTTTGACAGAGAAATGAAAGAAAAGAACAAATAAAGTAACATGATGATGTCGTATTATTGTAATGCTATTTGTTTTTTCCTTCTTTCTGATGCTGTCTGATTAGAATATTGACCAATTAATTCGAATAAAAATCAAAACAAATAAGAACAAGAAATGAATAAGCCTTTAAACTTGAGGTAAAAACAAAGCGCAGAAAGAAAACAGACTAAAGAAATACTGAAAAGAAAAGAGAAAAAGAAGCAAAAAGGAAGGAACCAACATAGAAACCAAGTTATTCTAATTAAAAAAGAAATAGAAATAATCTATCAACTAACCGATGGTAAATATCTATGAATTATGATATAAGAAGAAAAAACATATGTGATAACAGTTACAAGGTCATGTGTTAATAAAAACAAGTCATTAGAAGAATGCGTATGATAAAATAGAAGATATATATGCTGAAGGTGACACCGTAGACGAAGTTGAGACGCTCTTACCAGCATCTGTAATATTAAAAAGAGGAGTGTGAGTGATGAAATGATGACCATTCTCACACCCACACCCTCATGGAGTCCATTGCCTGCTCTTCTGATGGACATAAAATAAAGATTTAATATCTATGCCATAATGATAGCAAAATAAGATGTTTTTTTTTCAAGGAGGTATATCAGATTGTGGATCTGACGCATCAAAAAAGCTGACCCAAATTTTATTAGCCTGAGAATCAGCGTCGAACCCTTATTATTTTTCATAAGTTTATTTTCTACTTTAACACAACTCAATTTTTCACATAAATTTATAAAATTTTTATGAAAGAGTATAATAATATACCCTTATTCGTAGAATCATAAACCCTTTTTCTTGCATTTCAAGATAATAAATCCTTTTTATTTTCATATATCCTAGCTTTCATACAACTTTCGGCTCATAAAGTATTGGGAATTTATGAGACCGTCATATACCCATCAAGGTGGAACTGATTTAAACCTAAAAGTATCGAATATTGATCTTGGTCAAATGTTTTATTTATTTGTGGAAGAACAGTTGATTCTATTTACAAAAATGCTCCTCTCAGCGTGAGCTTTCATTTGATATAAAATAGTAAGGACTCCAACAACAAAAGTTCCATAGACCGATTTACGACCTTACACTTTTTCTTCGTTTCTCATTTTCTTTTTCAACATTGCAAAAATCGGAGTTTCGTACGAGATCATTATGACATTTCATAGATCACACTTGTATAGAAAAATAAATGATAATGTACTTCGTGTGCGTTCTTCTTTTGTTTTGTTTCGTTATACATGTTTCTACCTGGATCTCATCCATTCATTAATTTAACTCTATTACGGTGTTGTCAGTCATTTTCATTATGCTTTTCCCTCTCTACATCAAATCTTTATAGTGATAGGACTATTTTGTTATGCACATAATATGGACAATATGTTCATAGGGAGATAAACAAGTGAAAAATAATATGATGTCGACTATTGTTAACTGGAGTACATACATGCAATAATAGAGAAAGAGAAAAAATATATTAGTGTACGGTGGTAACGATGTCTTGGGATATAATAAGATATGAAATGAAAATCAACGTTTCTTTTTCTTGCCTAAGATACGATATTTATTTTCTTTCTAGCAAATTCAATCACAGCGAACGACGCATATGCTTCACTTATTCACGAGGAAAAGAAAAATTTCTCCCCATTCCTATGCTCCTATCCTCTATCTCCTATCACCTATTGCCTATTCCCTATACCCCGTAATCCTATATTCGTATACCCTATAGCCTATACCCCACCCCATATATCCTTATTCCCTATATCTCTGTAGCACCATCCCATTATATGTCTGTAGGCTTATCCCTATAGCATTCGTACCTTTGGCATCTGACTTTTAGCCATTGACTTTTAACCTTTAACCTTTAATCTTTAACTCACCATAGACAGACACACAGATACACTGAACGTTATATATGCCATGCCGAAGTTATTTTAGACCAACTAGATATTAAATAATTATCCAACAGTTTATGATATCATAGTGAAAATGTATATTTAGAGTAGATTTTACATAAAACGTATGCATAGTTTTCAAAAAATCAGTAAATTATTTAAAGACTATGTAGAAGTATTAAAAACTACACTTCATTGGTATTATTGCAGGAAATTTATGAATATAATCATCGCAGCTGCTATAATTTATTTTTCGAAATCTTTTGAAATGATACCAAAGGTTTTCATGTTCAATTTAATGTAAAATATTAAGACTGAGGATGAAGCTAAAATGATTTCGTTTTGAAAGGTGAAGATGAAAACAGAAACAAGAGAGAAACGAAACGAAGATGCCAGATGCTTCTTCTTCGCTATGGCTTTTTATTTATACAATGAAAAGATATTATATATATCATCAAAGATAAATTTAGTAAATCTCTGAAAACCTAGATTCGGTTAGGTCTAAAAAACTTCAGTGTGAGATCTTCCTACAGCCTGACGTCGACTATTGTGTTCGAACCATCTAATCTGTTTTTGATGAATTTCGTTTTCTATTAAATCAAAGCTCACTGCTGATTGAAGTTTCAGTCATAGTACCCCAGAGGCTTTTCATCAAACACAGAACTTACTGTGATCTGAGTTAAACAATAATCATTTAATGTATCAGTGAAGTGTAATTTTCAACCTTTCTGAACAATCTTTAAATAATTTATTAGGTTTTAAAAAACTATGCGCACGTTATTAATATTCAAAAGAGGTTGACCGTCTATACTCGTCCCGTTCCACACTTGACTTTTCTTCGTTTAATAATTTTTTTTATTGGAACTGATTGTAAGGAAATAAGGTCACGGAATCGTTCGATTGACATTCTTAGTATCATGCAAAAAATAATCAATATTTTAGGAAAAAGGAAATTTCCATGGAAAATACTATAAGAACGGTTAGAATTTCGAGATTTTAATTATCGAAAATTGATTTTTATAGAAAATCAGTATCATATTCAAAGTCAACAAGCAAAAATGTACCAAAACAATTTTCTTTTTATTCTGAAATATTTCTTATGAAAGTTTTACTCGTAGAGAGTTCAGGTCAGAATCCAAGAAATGAAAGACTGAGGAGGACTGAGAGAAAAATATTAATATAAATGTTGTATGACAGAAAAAAAAATGTTTTTGGTGTATTTTTGAACCCTTACACAATACAAACGTAATTAAAAAGGACAAAAGCCGAGCCGAAAAAGGGGATAGTCCATGCAACATGTACTAACTCTTTTGATACAAATATTAATTTTTACTATAATATCATCGATTATTGGATAATTATTTAATATTTTAGTTGATCTGAAATAGCTTCGATAAGGATATTTGCCGTCGAAATCGTAATTTCGGCAAACAGTGTAACTTCAGAACGAAATATGCATAAATAGAGTTGAAATCATTCTCTCAAGTAGCTATACCACTTAATCAATTCATTCTTCTTTTTGTTTTAGGAAAACATCGAAGAATTATCTTTGCAAAGTAAAATCAACATTCTTCTTAACTATAATCTCGAAAAAGCATTTTCACGTATGCCTTTTCTTTTGATCATCATATACCTTCAAGTAGTTGCATGCGTTCTCTCATTTTTTTTTTCATTTGATTCTTTATATTACCTTATTCCATTTCTTTTCCCCCTCTTTTTTTCATCTTTTTGTAGCTTTTATAGTATTCGATTTTAATAAATGCTTAGATGAAAAAATATTCTCAATGATATCTTGAAAATAGTATTGACTATCCATAATAATCATGCCAAGTGTATTCTGCAAAATACCTATGTATTTCATTTGATATACTTAATTGATTAAAGAGTTCGTTTGAGATAAGAAAAATCTCGATTTCTTGTATTTTTATTTCAATGAACTTGTTCGATAGAGAATATGTTTTCTCTGCAATGAAACTGAATGGAATTGTGTCAAATCAAAATGGACAATGCAATACAAATTTGTTTGTATTGTCTTTTGTATCGATTTTATTTCAAAAGAATAACAAATTAGCAATACATTGTAGAGAAAAGCACATATTGTATCAGACCATTCATGTCACTATTCGTGTTTTATAATTTGATCAGATGCAGAAATGGCGCGAAGATCTCAAAGCAAAAGGAGAATATTTTCAAAAGTGAAAGGAAATGTGAAAAATCAGAGAAAAGTATGTTCGAAATTTCTCAAAAATGAAAGGATTTATCCTCCAGTTTCCGAAAGCTGAACGGGAGATTGCCAAGTTCCTCCGAAATTGCTCTAAAATGAGGCGCTTTTGTTGCTAATTTTTCAAAAGCAGAAGGAGATACAGTCATCCAACTGCTCCGCTTGCACCACCCCTGATTAGCTGCAAATTGAAGGTAAAGAGTTTGAATCAGGATGTAGTATGGAAACAAAGATTATGCTTTCGAAATATTCACAATAACGGTAAGATACTTCTATATATTCAGAACCGGAGACCGGATCCACTGAAGTTTTATTGATTCGGTTCAGTTCGATTTATTTTATTTTTGGTTTCCGATACTAAATATAATTCAAAAAGAAGATAAACTTTGACTATGATAACTGGATTAACAAATGAGAAATTGAATGAATTAATCAAAGTCATTATTAAAATAGCACATAAGCGTCATCCATAACAGAGATGTGCGGAGCATTGATTTTTTCTATCCTGCGCGTCCCGCCCCTCACGATTGCCAAACCCGTCTCGTCGATCTCCGTAAAATATTTTTCTAAGCATTCCTCGTCCAACTCGCCCCAGAGCGAGCAAAATCAGCGCCCCGCCCCGCTCCGACCTGTAAATTCCGAACTAAATTTCAGTGATTTCTGATGTGTGGTTGTGTGTGAGTGTGGATGGCAGTGTAAAAGAAGGCAATGGTCATATCAACATCCGTACCCTATATGTTTCGTTTTAAGTGTCATTCAAAGATACATGGTGTGATAAAAACAATATAATTTTAATTTTGATTTTCAACTTTGGAAATAAGAAAAAAAAAACTTTAATGCTTAATGCTGGCGAAGATGGTGCATTTCATGCATTTTAATGGTCCAAATGATCGTCGATTGAGAAAAGAAACGCATTTTAATGTGCATTTTTCCATTATCTACTTGATAGGGTATTTCAAATTTCATTTTCTGCTGTTCGTCGTCTTGCTGGTCGTACTGGTAGAAGCCGCCACGTTCAATGATGATTTGTTGGCACCGATTGGATGTATTCTGTTTCTCACCTAGATAGATATTCGAAATCAAATGAGAAATTCACAGATAAAATCCGATTTTTATCTATATTCAAATATTCTACGCAAAGGCGAAGAAAAGGATTGATTGACAAGGGAATAGTATATGGAAAAATGCCTTTTTGCTTCGTTTTTTATTTGTCAACAAAGCAAGACAATGATGTACTCACATGACTCACATGTGAAGGTTGTGTACGGGATGCTGGTTTGACTTGCAGTTGCCCGGATGCGATCAATTCACCCCAACCTTCTTGTTGAGAAAATGCATAACCTGAGCGTATAGATCGCTTTCTATGACGTAAATGCGGTTCAATATGTGCAATGAAAGCTGCTTTTTCTTCGTTACGAAACTTTTGATTGAGTCGAGCCTTGTCGGTCGTAGTTGGCATGAAACGCATACGAAAGAATCTAAAGAAAATTCTTTGAATCAAACAAAAAAACAAAGGCATAAAACAAATGAGTCGTACTCGCGACCGAACATAGGCAAGAATAATATGGCACAAGTGAGAAGTAATGTGAACCAAAAATTTCCAGTCGATAGCACTGTGTGAGCTACGCCGACATAAGCATAATTCGTCTGGAAAACTTGATATATTATTCTTGAGTAGAGAGCAAAATGAAAAATAAAATGGGCAAGAATTGTACCCCAGATAGCAAAATGATACAAGCCCGTCCAGTACCAAACTTCAAGAGCATTTTGAAGATTGACAACAATGACAACAGCACTAGCTATTATAAAACCGAATGATTGTAAATCGGTTTGGATCATACCGTCAGATCGCGTACTATTCGATACGGAGAGAAAAGACACGAAGAAAACGATACACGATGCCAGTATTCCATGAATAATGCTTTCCGCAAATATTTTGTTATTGAAAAATTGATTCTTTTGACCAGGAATGTATCTTAATAAGTCAACAGAGCAACATAGTTTGAAACGACAGATAGATGATTGACTTACAAATGTGGTTTACTCAACGAATGATCAGCGCTGATATCCTTCCAAAATAAAATAAAATAAAATAAAGACATCCGTTATTCATCAAGAAATAATCGCTTATGTCAAATCAATCGATGAACTTTCCTCTGTATTTTCATTGTCTGTTCGAATTCTACTACAAATCAAATGACAAATGACGTACCTGATCCAAGACACTCACTGCCAGTACCGGCAATGAAGAAAAGAAAAGATTGTAAGTACCGATAAAGAACTGATCGTACACAGTCTATTTTCGAAGGAAACTAGTGAAGAAAAAATGAAATCTCGAAATAGAAATTCTTATACCTGAGCCGAGAAACCCGAAATGAAACCGAACCAAAAGTGGCACAATGTGAAAACAAAATTTTTGTAGAAAAAGTAACGTAGAAATTTTGAAATACGTAAATATGACCAACGTCCATGGACAAGTAAGAGTCGTTCAAGATAATGAAATTGGGCGAAACTAAAATCGCTGGCTAGTACAGCCTGTCGACCTTCTTGACCACTAATACCGACACCGATATGAGCTTCTTAAAAGATAAAACAAGTAAATTGATCGTACCACAGATTCATGAAAACAGAGGTAATATTGCACTTACTCTGAATCATGGGCACATCATTCGCTCCGTCACCAATCGCCAATGTGATCTTTTTCTCATTTTGCATTACCGATTCGACGACTAGACCTTTTTGTAGTGGCGTCACGCGACAACAAACCACTGTCTTACACATAGTACCTAATTCAAGAAACTTCATTTTTATTTTATCGGTCAATGCATGAGCCAATGCTGGGCCAGTAATGAGCAATCCGAAACCTTCGAATTGTTCTTGATCGTGTGAATATGTATTCATAGTAGTAAAACCATCATTTCGGTGATTATGATTCGGTTGCTCGACACTACTTGATGGTTTGCGATATTGATCGAATTTCATCTCATCAATACCCCAATCCTTCCAATCGAGTCGCTTCGTTGGATCCTCAATTTTGACATTAAATAACTGTTGGATCTTCTGAATCATTTCCTTTCGAACTTCATCTAATCGTTTCACTACGTCATTTTCGTTCTCTTCTTCAATGGTATAAATTTCCATCTCATTCGTCAATAAACGACACGATAGTCCAATATTAAAAGCCGTTTCTAAATGTCATTATTCAAAACAAAACAAAAGGAAAAAATCTACAAATGATTACGAACCAACTTTATCACCAGTCAAGATCCAAATTTTGATACCAGCTCGTATTAGACGTTCGATACATTGTGGCACCCCATCTTGAAGCTTATCTTCGATTCCAGTGGCACCAAGAAGTTTCATATTTGTTTCAATTTCTTCGTATGTATCATTGACTTTTTCTTCGCGTCTATCCATACTTGTCCTAAATAGAAATTTTAATAATAAGAAACATTGTTTCGAATTTAATTTTAACCAAGAAAATTCTCTTAATACGAATTCGACATTCTAAGAATCGCTTCAAACTTTCATTGTCCAATTTCTATCAAGATCATTTCAACTATAATTGCTTGCTACTTTGAAACTTACTTGGCTTGATTCAATTTTTCGGCCCATCGTCTATATTCGATTTCGTCCAAATCTTTCCAGGCTAAGCAAAGCGTACGCAGACCATCGTTAGCAAATTTCTATTAGTGATAATCGATTTCTATCCGTATTACAAATACAACACTAAACAAGATATATTCACCCACAGTGAGATGTTCTTCAGTTTCGGCCATGATATCTTTCTCAGACGGATTCAGTCGTTCCTTAATTTTCGAATCAGCACCTTTACAATACAACGTTATTCTGCCATCCTTCTTGATAATAACCTAAATGAAAACAAAGACTTGAATGAACAGCAATAAAAAGTATATGTTCGTTTACTACTGACCGACATGCGTTTTCGATCATTGTTGAAATCGAGAATATGTAATAGGTCGTAGGTTTCTTCCTTGTCTTGAAGACGAACACTAATACTACTTTGAGTTCGATGCTTAATGACAACAATAATGAAGGTGAATTATTATTATTAGATATTGAGAAACGCTGATATTTTTCATTTAGTGTTAACATTTGAAAATGAGTAAGTACCGGCAATTCAAAAGTTGAGTAGGAATTTATTTTTCGACCTTTTTGACACCATTGGATATAGTTCGTCAAGTTGAATATGAAAACATATTTTGTAGATTTTTCTAAACTTCGTTTTTCAAAAACAACGTTATAATACCCTTTTTCCGAAAAAGCTCAAACTTAAGGATCATACGAGCGGTAGTCTGTACTATTAACTCGATCATTTGTTTTGATCCGCGAAACTAGTTTGTTCGAAATCTCAATGTAAAATTGTTTATTGAGAACTAGATTTGAGTGTGTGTAGGAGTCAGATAGAAATAAAACAAACATCCACATCCGCATATGATATTCGTAATTAGCATCGACAACTGGGTAGCATAATACACATTTTATTAGAAAATATTTTTCGTCAAAATCCCACCTGTGATTAACCTCGGTAAAAAACAAAAAAATGTATTGTCATTTTCTTTCTAACTTACATAAAAGACAAAGCCAAATACGCATGCAGCATTGACGAGTGCATTTTCATCTGGTGATTGAGCTTGATAGATTATTATACCGTCGTTTTCTTCGGGCATAACTGTATGACATAGAGCAACATGGGAAAAGAAATTGTGTACATTGCGATCGCCATTTTTGATGTCATTGATTAGTTTTTGATCGTACCAAACAAATTCTTTGTCTTGTTCGGCAAATTCGATTGGTTTGAGTTTCTAACGAAGAATGTAAACAAGACAAAATCGGCAACATTACTGAATTTACCATCAAAACAAAATAGATCACAAAAAAAGAGAATAGTGTTTGTCATAGTCATTTTACAAAATTTCTTGATTTCAGTCAAAAATTGCTCGAATCTAAATAATGTTCCTGTCATACCTCCAGATCTTGAATTTCATTACCAGCTTCGTCTAATACATAGCCATATAGTTGACCACGGATCGAACACTTCTTGAATGTCATTATGTTCTATAAATCAACATAGATCGAGGTCATGAGAAGACGTACAAATATCTCGATCTGTCCACGAATCACTTTTTTGTTCACTTTGTCTCTTCAATTTCTCAACACAATCAAATCGGATAAGACTGACATTCTCAAAAGGTGTTTAATTCAGATCGCTCTACATATGAGGAGTGTTTCATTAGATTGATATCTTACAACGCTAAAAGTTTTATGCTTAATATAACTTCACAAATATACTTTCGAAATTTCATGACTGATCGGGATCAAAAAGTTTAGCTTGCTCATCTCTATTTACAAGTGTTATTTTTTTCCTGAAGTTATTGGAAGATCTGTCAAAAATATGATGTTTCAAAGCATGACTATCGTTATTTCTGCTAAATTTTCTGAGACCAACAAAATCTGCTGTTATGTGGACAGACCGATTCAACAAATTTTTACCTGTGTAAGTGTTCCTGTTTTATCTGAGAAGACATACTCAATTTGTCCAAGTTCTTCATTGAGCGTAGTAGTACGTGCTTCTGCGGAAATATTGTATGGTTCGTAGTACATTTTCAAATCCCAATCGATCCATTTGGATTGTATAAGACGGATAATTTCGACATTGATATAAAGTGAAATTGGCACGACGGTACTCAAAATAATAATATATGAGAGAAAGACCAATAGACCATTTTCAACAGCACCAATCTGTGAATCATTCGATATATAACTTTCCCATGGTAAATACACACGAAAGTTATAACCAACAAATGATTCCCAAAGACCACAGCAGAGAGTCATGATAGCACACATAATCAGAAGAAACAAAAATATCTGCAAGTAAAACAATCATATTCATCCAACAAAGGTGTTTTTTCTTCTTTTCCTACTTACCCCAAGAATAAAATGATTGAGCATGTGATCAATTTTAGTCCGTTTGAATTTTGCTTTGTCACTGTTTTTCATTAGCTTTGTGTCGGATCCAGCATAACAAACAACTATTCAGATTGAAAATCGAATTTGTGAATAGAAATATTAATGAAAGACTTACTGCCAAAGGCCCACTTGGTATTTCGTAATCGAGTGCCGCGTAAAAGAAGATTATCGTTTTTCAATGGGTAGATCTTATTTTTCCATTTTAAATTGCCTTCAAATCTATTAAGATTGCTATTCGGTGCTTCGAATTCAATTTCAGCTGGATAAGACCATACAAAAAAATCAAATAATTTTTAAAAATTCCACACTTTCACAACGTTTTATATAGATTCTTACCATTGAAAGTGGACAATTGGTTAATATCATCTCTAATATCACAAGTTTCTTCAAGTGCGTGTCGAACTTTGAGATTCGTTTCACTGAAAATTGAACGAACAAAGAATTGTTTTTCAAAATTAAGAAGTTTCCTGTTGATTAATCACCCATCCAGTTCTGCTGTTTCGATATAGCACAATCCATTGGGTTCGCTAGTCGAAATAAGGACAATATCGGCCTGACAAAAAAAAAACAAAGTCTGAAGATCATACATGAATTGAAATAGTGAATTAATGTTAAAAAAAAACAAAAAATCGATCATCTTCCCGCACTTCGAACATAAAAACTTGCCAGGTCGATCGTTCTGAATATCAGAATCGTCATAAACCGACTGTAAAATCGTCGAACATAACGGAAACGATCACATCCGGCGATTTCTTTGCCACTAGATTCCGGTCACAAGTTTTATAGAAATTTTCGATGATTTCCTGGCCGATTCATACCGAAAAGTGATGACATTGGTCATATACACTGAAGTTTCATCCAGCAATTATTAGGCGTCAAGATTCAACAATAGAGAAATCAATGCGTATTCGTTCGTCAGAATGAGTTCCCACATGTGTTACTGTCAGATAGTTTCAGGCAGTTTTGAATGAATTTAATCAGTCATTTTCTTCTTGACTTGAATTCATTTTCACTCGTGAAAAATATTAGTATTCGTACTTACTGTAATAAATTCATCGTTAATCAATTGAATAATGTCACCGGCACTAATTTCTCGCCATTTTCTAGTCATAAGCTGTCCGGCGACTAGTGTGTTTGTTTGGCGATTATTAATTTGTTTATCACTTCGATGTCTCGCCTATAAACAATCTATCGAAAACTATCGGACGATTAAATAGATTTGTCTTACAATATCATCACTGGCATCCTTGATGGCTGTCAAAGACAATACTATGACAAGTGGCAAGACTGTTGTAGCGGGTCGCAGAGAACTGACTTGTGGTATTAGCTAAAAAATAGTCGATGACAACAGAAAAACCTTATCAGTACCACCCTTTGGAGCTAAAATGTGGAACTCACAAGCTCTATTTTTTTTAAATAAACTTACATCTTAATGCTTGCTAATCTCTTACCTCCACCGTTGCTATGGGATGTACCGTTGATCTATGTCCCCAGTTGCTATGGAGAGTAGAGGGAGCCCCCAAAACTTCGACTTACAACTTACATCCTATATTTTCCTGCGTAAAATATGTGAGTTCCACAAAACACAATTGAACTATTTCGAAAGACAATTGTTAATTCTATCTACTTGTAAAGAAAGTTGAAATAAAAAGTATGTATTGGCTAATCGAGTGAATTGTTCGAAGAGATTTTTCGGTAAAAACGTTATCAGATTGTATTTCGATGTTGATATTTCATTGCCCTAAATGATGATTCTCGTCAAATATGATCACAAGATTTCACTTTTAATTATTTGAATCTTACAGCATATCGTTTGAGTGCATTGTTCTCAGGATCATTGGCTCGGATCATTCGAGTGCCTTCTATAAGATCATAAGTGAATTGACATTTTTTAAAACAATAAGGGGAAATTGATGATTAACCTTCATCTGCCTTCTTTTTGAACAACGATAATCTATTCATTTTTTTTCATTAAGCACGATCGTTTTCGATGAAGAGGAAAGGCAATTGTTCTCCGGTGCTTTTTCGTCGTCGTCACTTGTTTTTACGAAATCAATAGCACAAATGAATGGATAATAGCGACAATAGAAAGTTACAACACATACAAGAAAGAAATGATCTACAACATAAATATTTGTTGGCTAATCGCTTGATGATGTGATGTTCTCTTTTCAGCCTTCGTAGTTCTAATTATTCCATCACTATTTATTTCCTACTCTCCTTCTCGTTCTGAGAAGTTATAGGAGAGACAAGAAACTCACCATCATACAGTATTCCTCCTCCCAATCGTCTCGTACTAGTTCTTAACCAACTCGTCTGCTACGAATTATTTTGAAGACAAGAAGCTAAACCTCCTCAAAACAGACGAACATGTCCTTATACAGTGTTTGGACACATCGCTACTTTTTGCCTGACCTTCTATTGAGGGGCCTGTTGTAAAACACATATTCGCCCATATTTTTGTGTCGCACAGTAGCCCGAGTGATATTAAGTACAAATCTAAAATACAAGACTTTTACATTGTAGTATAAGAAAAATAGCAGGAGCATATTACTTCGATTTTTACCTCTATAAGAGTCAGTCCATGTAAGCTACGACGGAATGTGTTCAATCGAGATCTTCAGATTTTGCTCAATTTCAGATATGTGGTAGAGGCAAGTCTTTCATGAATTGTCATGCAAGCCGTTCCAAAAAAATAGAGCCATCGATTTTAAATGATTTTCCAAAAGCTCTAAAAATCAAGACTTTCAAAATTGATGATACTTCCGGCTTAATATTTCAAGAAAGATTCGATTGATCGAGCTGAAATTCTTTGTAAATGCATACATCAATAAACTCTACTTAAAAAAAAGCTTATTAGCGCAGCTCCTGCGGAGCTGAAATGTGGAACTCCCGTATACCTTTAGCTTTGTTACCTGACGCATCATCTGTATACTGAAAGACTTCTCGTCAACTAGAGTTGTTTTCCTTGAGAATCGATGAAAAGAGCGGGAATTTATTATTTATTTGTATATTAAAAAAATATATTAAAAAAGAAAATATTGTTTTTTCATTTAAGCGCGCTCGATTTCATTTATAATTATTGCTATATACTCGATAATAATCTTTTTTTTTGTTTTCTAATTTGAAGTTATTTTTCTCCACCATCGACTATTTGATGAATACGGTTGTTGCAGTCTGTAATGGGAGGGGGAGGAGGTATGTGTATGTAATGTTCTCTTTCGTTGCTATGGTCTGTAAGGGGAGGGGGGGGGAGCCGCAAAATCTCGAACTTAAAACTTACATTCACTATTTTCTTCGAAAATATACGTGAGTTCCTCAAAAGAACTTTTCAGCTCAAATGGTTGATCCCTTGGTATTCTATGGATTTCCCTTAGACAGGCAAAGATCGATATTTTGATGATTTTTGAGCTTTATACCTCGTGATTGGAAGTAGATAGACAGCTGAAATCTGCATCGCAAGTAGAATTCGCAGAGACTTGGCGGCACTAAAAAGTTGAGCTCAGTATGATGTTGTATTCTCCCAGGAAGATCTTGTCAAAATTTAATATTCGACGATAATCACCATTTTCAGTCAAAGTTATCTATCAAAATCATGGGATGGTTTAGAAGCTGATAGTTAGAAATGAAAAGTCCCATATATGATCTACAACCTTACAGAAAAGTGAACGTAGAATCTGTACAAATGATCTAGAAAAGGGATAGTTTTTTGGAGTCACAAATAGGAAAAATTTGATTTTTGCAACTAAAAACCCAAATGCAAAAAACTCATCGTTTTCGAAGAGTCGTTGTTTCTTCGAATCATCGAGCCATTCTAGTTTCCTCAACGTTTCCCTGCGAAAGTAAGATTATGAAACATTGAAACTTATATATTCTTAATCAGCTCAAAGAGCTCTGTCGAATAGTGTATAAGAGAAAATCTTTAAAAAAATTTGCTTGAATTACGCCTTACTTATACTGATCTCTTCAAGGTAGCCTTTTGCAAAGCACAACGAAAAGCATAAAAGCGCTTGCCAATGCATCAGACTTTTTAGACGAATGTTGCGATATTATGTGATTCAAACTACGTCGCAAAAATTGTGGTGAAGCGAGGATTAAGCTTTGCTGGAATCTACAGTAAGCTCAGCACGTGTAGTGTTCATCTGCTGTTCAAATCGAAACCAATTAACTTGATATGGAGCTAACTATAGCCTTGGATAATCACAAGAATTTTTGGTTTGATGTCATTATTGATTGTATGGAATTTTTTCAGGAACGCCAAAGCACGCAATATATACAATCAATAATGATGATATTAATAAGAAATTTTCCTTAGGACTTGCTATGCACCAAGATGTTGTAAGAAATTAATTCCAGTGCAATAAATATGCTTTCTTGAAGAACTTGCAATCATAATAAATCATTGCTGGACGACTTTCGAGTGGTATATTTTTGTCAACCACAAGAAGTCAATGTCCGTCTTGATCTTGCTTGAAATATCTGCCATATTTTCCATTATATGACGTACCTATATTCAGACTACTATTTCGAGCTTTTGCTTTGAAAATGTAATCGGATCTACATTGTTTGACAAATCGAATAGCAGTAACATTTGCATGTTACCATGGTTGCGTATAGTTGATCGGTGTATCGTGAATTCTACCAAGAAAAATACGCACAGGAAACAGTTCAAGTAAAAAGTGTAAATTGAGTCGCTTCGAATGTATTGGTGAGATACTTAACTAAGCTGCCTAATCTCACTGTTCACATAAAGTAACCAAGATGTATTCTATTGTAAAGTTTTTTTTTCTGTCATGGTTAAAGTAAGAGAGCGCATTGTGTTCGATGTTAACGACGACAGAAATGCGTTGTCGTTCTGATTAATG